TTAGGCGGGGGAAAGGGATTGTTAGTAATGAAGACTGAGAATCCCATTGCTAGCAATATACCCAACCAGGTCGACCTCCGCGCGGTTCCCCCTGGAAACTATCATGATTAATTCCAGATGAATTCATCATGATGGGCTAATTGGCCTGTTTTCATCCTCATCGACCATCATTCACTGGTGCCCCGCCAGCGTATTCCGTTAGCGCAAGCGGGGTTACCATACCATTTTCATCAAAAAAAAAATCTAGTTTTAGGCAAAATATATTTATGTATTTATTTATATTCTTAATCTATGCAAAATACAATGTTTTTTATGGTTCCATTGTAATCTATACATATCGATTACTGTGTAGGTTTACCATTATATCCATACCATCATCATATGATACCATACATTATACCATCTACCAATATAACTATTGTCAAGGCTCTGTATCGAATCGTTTCAACAGTTTTATCTCCATTTTCTATATGCGTTCACAATTTTACAACGAAATTATTAATAAAACTTACACATCAGCACCTCATTTCCAAGATCATATTAGATCCTGTAAATCATATTTTAAAATAGCCGTATCTAGGCTGCACTCGCGTGAATCAGTAACTGCATTAAATAACCTATGTAGTATGTTAGTATCGATCCGTTTACTAAACACTAATAAGTTCTACCATTCATTGAATGAAATCCTATCAGTAGTTTTTGCTTTATTCATCTATTCCTTCTTAGAAACTTTTGTATTATAATATTAATAGGACAGTAGTTTAATTTTGAGATAATAATTTCACTTAAATAATTAATAATAATAATAATAATGATCGTGTTCCATAAAAAACTGACTTCAATTCTGACATAACCAGTTATTTTAATTTAAAAACTAAGTACTCAACCGATTTTGATAAAAATTCTTTGGAATCTGTAAGTATATTATTTCAAATAAAAAAAAATCCAAATCGGTTTACAACTCATGGAGTTATGAGGTAACAAATATAAAAAAATACAAGATAATTAATTGAAAATTTCCTTCTTTTTGAATTTGGTTGAAAAGAAAACTCTTATCGCTATAAAAAAAAATATTATGCATATGTAAATTATTTTTGTTCGATATTTTCACTGAATTTTAATACGAGTCACGTATAAGCGTAGTTAAAATATCTAATATACCTATGGAGAGAGGATGCCTAAATAAAAGACGGCAGGAAAACAAGGCCACTCCAACTGTACGCCACGCGATTTTAATCTGCAGAATAGCGAATTGGGGCGAAGCGATGCGGCTGAGGGTCGACAAAAATGCATAGCAGATGTTCTATTGTGAACCGATTACTTGCATAATACTCAATCAAAGAAATTCCCACGTAGGGCTGGTCACATAGGATCGGAATTCTGATTCGAAACAATTTATCATAGATGTAACAAGGATGATAAGATAAATGGATTATACTGTCTGATGGACACAAAATATTTATGTTTATGTAAATAACTCATAGAAGAAGTTTCAAAGAGTCACGAGTAATATTTAGCACGGATTAGGGATTATTTAGCACTAGATTGAGAAAGATATTAGAAAACAAAACATTATCATGCGACCCTGCGAATCTATTGATAAAATCGTTACCGTTAACAGGTTCATGAGATAGAATGAAACGACATGCAAATAAAGTATTCATTCAAAATCCGGTGTTTTGTTCTTCCTCGTGAGAGCGGTAACCGAAACGTTTCTAGCGATATAGCTATTAATTAGTCTTGTCTAAACGGACTGTATACGAATCTTTTGTATCTTATGATGATACAATATTTAAGGCAAAAAGACCTTATCTCTTGGTATCTTAAGAAGAAAACAAACATTTATCTATATCATAGGTATGTGACTGTCCATTAGATTATATGGAGAGCAGTATTTTATCTCAAGATAAAATTATTATAGCATCTTCATCGTTTATGATGTGAGTCTCTAGAACCAGCATGTGATAACTGAAAAATGGAAAAAATACAAAAGGTAAATTTGTAAACAATAGTCACCTTTATTCCACCACAAAATACGATTTCGCACCATTTGCATCCATCGATTCGTAATAAAAGATAATTTATAAGTATTTAGTCAAATTAGTCTATTACATCTAATTATTTTTACTCTGTTAACAGCAAAATCAAACGTCACAAAATTAATATGACACCAACACGGGACCGAACTCTATTTATAGCAAAAATAATTTTGAAAATCGATACATAATTGATGAAGTAATCACGTAACATGTTCGCAAAAAATTCAAACAAATAAAGACCCTTCTTCTTTTGGAAAATTGCTTAAAAATATTAAATTATCTTACCATTACGAACACCTTTGAATGCCATGAAGATCTGTCATGAATGTTGGCAAGTACTATGAATGATGTCATAAGAGGTAAGTATAAAATTTATTCATTTATTGTATGGCTCTATTATAGACTCGGCAAGTATTGTATTTATGACCTAGAAAACAGCAAAACATGGTAAATGTCAAGGTTAAGTAAACATTCTGAGTAATAACAATATTTTCATTTCGATCTCATGTATACCTTTATAATAGCAAAGTAAATTTAAAAGTATTTATTGATTGAACTTAATCTCTACTTTAAAAGCAATTCAAGTAGGTATTTTAGTATAATTTAAAAATATTATTTATAATAAACTACATAGGTATGAAATTTTATTTTCTTTATATTTTAGCAAAACAATGAAAACCACAGAGAACAGGGAATATTTAAATTTATTTTTGTACTTGTCAAATGATGCCATTCCAAGATTCCAAGCATATTACAGCATAATATAATTAGGTCACCGGAGTAGGTCAATTTAATTGGCTTCATTAATAATGCTTTAACAAGTGTCATCACATCCCCTCACAAAAAGAGTTATAGTGATTCTGTCTTTAGAATTATAGTTTAAGCACTACAGATAATGTAATGTAATGTAAATTGGACTCTCTTTTCCGCACTTAGCCTCTAAGCACTATAGATATTTATAAATATAAAAGAACATCTCTAAATATGACTCTAGGAATTATGATCTTCACAAGACTGACCAGCTGCCATGATGAATATATATATATATATATTTTTCTTATTTTTATTAATGGCAACTAGTCATCTCTTTGTTACAGAACTTTTTTGTCAGTGCCAATTAACATATTAATATTATGTTAATTAAAACAATATCTTAACAAATTGTTTACATAGTAAGTATACTGAAATATAAAATGGAGAAAAACAAAACTTGAAATTGGTAATCTAATAAAGAGACCACAAATTGCTCTTGACAAAATTAAGTATATATAAAGTATTTTTTTTCTTTTTGGATGACAACTAATTGGCGTTACAGCAACCATAACTACCAAAGTCAAGTGTAGAAATATGCATGTACATAACAGTCAATGGACAGTTCCTACCTATTTTCAGTCAAAATAGTAAACTAGTCTGTTTTAATCAAATTTAATAAAAATGTAAACAAACTAATAATTTACTTGACCATAAGACAATCCATATTGGATATTTGCATCCAATGATAATATAAATCAAAATTAAATAAATTTATTGATTAAATATTCTAATTATTACCAATTTTATTTAAAGTATCTCTGTTTAAACAAGACTTAGTTACCCTCCATGATTGCATTAGGTTCTACTGAACCTAAGGGCATCCACTGACCAAAACAGATTGTAAATAGATATTTTTAGCCTATTTCAGTAGTACTACTTGAAAAGTCAAACTGGTAAATACTAGTAACTGGTAAATAATAGTTTGACTTTTCAGATAGGTAGATAAATATGAAGTATCTATTTTAGGTAACATCCATAATTTTCAACCAGAACAAGGGTTCCCAAACTTATTTTGTCTACTGTCCACTTTGAGAATAAATTATTTTTAGTGCCCCATTTTTTCACCTATGACTTCAAGATCAACAAATCACCCCCCAAGTCTCTACACAACACCCCCATTTTTTTCTGGATCTCTTATCACCCCCCTTTAGGCCTACAGTGCCCACAAGGGGGCATTATCGCCCACTTTGGAAAAGGGTGAACTAGAATTTAAATTAAGTATATTACTATAAATAAATATTTAAGAACTATTTCATATTACATCTAAAATAAATATACATAATATTTACCTAAACAATGAAAATTATGTAATGTGAATTTATATTTTATGTAAATTTATTAAAAAAATAAGGTAATAAAATTTGATATATAAGCCTATACATACTATCTAATACATGTATCTGGCTACCTCACATAAGATATTTTGTGGGGAAAATAACTGGTTTTGTAGCAGCTCCTTTACCATTCAGTAGGTAAGAATAACATATTTGTAAGAAGCATCAAAATTTTTAAATGCCAAAATAAATACCTATAGATAATATTAATACATGGTACATAATATTAGTTATATCATAACATGTGACTTAATAGGTAGATAGAGTTATTATGTAAATACTATACCTACAGAACTACGATATTGACATTTAGAGACAATAACATACATATCTAAATTAAAATAATGTCTTAACCTAAGATTTTAACACACTACCTAAATATAGATATAAAATATTTGCTTCTCTATACACTACAGAAGTACCAAAAATCATCAACAACTGCAAGTTGTCTCTACCGTGAGTAAGAAGAGATAACTACAATTTTAAATATTTATCCAAATAAACTAAAGAACTAGATATCTACATATGTAGAGAGGATAAATTGTATGATATTATTGATATTATGTAAAAATCTGCAGTGCTGTAACACCGCATACACCCAAAATAGGTCATCTCCCTGTATGTAGTACCTATCCAAGCATCAGAGTCCAGAATAGAGCTGCGCGAATAATATTGGTACAGCTGTGCAGTGAAACGCTTTATTGTAATAAAAATAAACATAAAAAATTTTAAATGACATTATATTATTTTTATATAAACTGCATTTTCAAGTAAAGAAAATAAAAAATAAATAAAATATGAGCACTATCGGTACCTGTTTACATTTGTTGTCGATTCCGTTTGCCTTGCCGTCTGGCACATTGCCGTTGTTTTCCTCACTTTTTTCACTTTTCACACCCTCCAACGCCATTTCAAATAGGTACTTTATTCACTGTCATGCGAAAATTGTGTTAATATTTCATAAATCACTGGACATAAAATATTTTCTCACAAATTCAATACGAAGAAACACTCCCATAGACAAGGCAAGAGCCGCCAAAAAACGCGTAATGCGTCGCTACAGTCAACGCCTTGAGCGCGAATGAAAAATAAAACATCTGCTACAGGCAGGAGGGAGAAAGCGAACATAGGGAACCAAATTATTGCCAGCTAAATTACTATAAAACAAGAAACAGAGGGTGAATTTTGGAATATAAAATTACATTTCTTTACAAGTTCAAGGCATATTCAATGTAAGTAAACATTCAATCTGAAATAAGAATATTCTATCAGAAAAGAATTAGTAACCAGGTAGGTATAGTGAAATTGAATATAACTGCACAGCAAATTGAATAAAATTCCAATCATTGTATCAATAGGTAAGTGCAGATCACATTCTAAAATAAAATCGTAAAATAATTTTATCTATTTTAGATATTTTTAGGTAAATGATAACAAATTGAGAAAATAAAATTCGAAATTCGCGCTCTAGCTTATTATTTGTTTTTTAATAAACTTGACAGGCAAAGAAAAGCATTTTGTCGTTGAGCCTCTTATGACACCTTTGATAAAATTACGAATTTATAAGAAATAGTAAAAGTGTAAATATCTTTTTCATTCGTATAGAATAATATAATATTTTGCAAAAGTATAAAATTATAAACTTCATACTATTTGACTATACAGAAGGAGGTGGTATTATTAAAGACCTAAATTATTTATCCAATGATAACCTAGATGGCGTTCTGTTATAGTTACGATTATTTACGATAGATGGCAATGTAACATCATGACGATTGTACAGGAATATTAAAGCAGATTTCAATCAAATAAAAGATGCATCTTAATTGTAAGTTTATAAAAAGACATTTATTCGTTTTGTAATATGTAATACATAAAATATAAAAGTGAACAAAAAATGCAAAAAGAAACTCCCCGACGGGGAATTGAACCCCGGTCTCCCGCGTGACAGGCGGGGATACTGACCACTATACTATCGAGGATGTGTTCAGAATTGTGAAAAAGTGTTATACATCATTGTAATGCATCTATAGTAAATTATATATACAAAATATTTAAATTTTCCTTACGAATATAGAATATTTTATTCATAGCCTAGGTTTCCAGCCACGATTTCGTGCACGTGGATTTTAAAAATATGAAAACCATGAAGAAGTATCAAAATGCAGCACCAATTTTTAAGTTAAACCTTCAAGACCACAACACAATTTGGTGCAACGAGTAATGGCTTATGCGGGAACAAATATACAGATGTTTAGGCTTCTATTGCTGTTATTTAGACACTTCATGTAAATTTTTCTTAAAAATCTTCCATGTAGATATAATTATGGTCTAAATAAAATTTTTATTATATTAGTAAAATTAAAGATGGTACTTGCGGAAATTTTATTCTTTGAACTATATAATATACCGACCATATTTAACAGAGGCTGATTTTTGTACATAATGTCTAGTAAGTAAGTATAAGTATGAAAATCATGCTTACTAAATTATAAATACAACCAATATTCTCTATTCAACTAGGAATAAAAAATAAAATTCCTAAATTAAATATAGCATATTTTACAATTACATTACATTGTTTTACAGAAATCTCATTGTAATAACGCTTCTATAAAATAGATGATTATCATTTTTTTTTTATTATAACAATTAAAAACATCGTTAAGTATTTTGAGTAAAGTCCAATATTTATCAACAAAAATACAAGGTACTTATGAGCGCTAGCCGTGATACTTCTGTATAAATTAATCTCATTCGATTTATAATAATTTTATCACAGTTTATAGCTGTGTATGTATTCTAATATTTTTTTTTTTTTTTATGAATGATAATGGAATGGTAAACCCGCCTGCGCTATCGGTATACACTGGGGGGGGGCACCATTGAGAGATGATAGGTGAGAATGAAAAAGCAGGTCAATTAGCCCATCGTGATGAATTTACTTGAAATTCAGCACGATGGTTTTCAGGGGGGACTACGTGGAGGTTGACCTTTTTGGGCATATTGCTAAAATGAGACTGGTAGTGCACATTATTATTGGTATTGATAATTAGTACGTAGTCACACAAAAACTGAAACATATAAATGTTTCAGATTGTAATTGAAATTTGTGATAGATTTTTTTTAAAAGATGATAATGGAATGGTTACTCCGCCTGCACTATTAGTATAAACTAGAGAGGTACCAGTGAGGGATCATGGATAATGATGAAACAGGTCAGTTGGTCCATCGTGATGAATTTAAATATAAATAAGTCATGATATATATATTGCTAGCAATGGAATTGCTAATCTTCATTATTAACAGAGGGAGACTTTGTACAAAAGTCGATTGCTTGGGTACCTCTGTCCCATTCGTGTTTCAACCGTGAAACAGTTGTGTTTGCATGGCTGTGTTTCGGAATGAACATAGCCTAGGTACAGAGGTAACTAAATATAATAAAGGTAAATGGCAACGCATGAGGGGTATCATGGGCAAAACAGTATACTCTGTTATGTCCATGGTACTGCTCATGTCTATAGGCGACGGTTACCACTTTCCATCAAGTGGGCCGTCAGCTGGTTGGCCATTCTAAGTTGTATAAAAAAACCCTTCTCCCCCCGAATCGAAACGTTTTTTTTAATGGATGATAATGGAATGGTAAGGTACCGCAGGCGAGGCCTGGCTATTGTTGTACACTAGTAGGGTACCAGTGGGATATGATTGTTGAGAATAAAAAGGCAGGTCAGTTAGCCCATCGTGACAAATTTAACGATAAAATAGTCTCGATGGTTTCCAGAGGGAACCTGATAGAGTATATTGATAGCATTGGGGACTAACCTAACTAACAAACCCTTTCCCCCCAATCGGAGCGTTTGGCATTCCATTGTTTCTGCCTACCCCAATAGGAGATAGGCGTGACAATTATGTGTGTATGTATGGCCATTTCAGCTTTAGTGTCTCTAAATTATCTAGAAGAGATCTAGTGAATTTATTCTATTCTGAATATTTTATAACACTGTTAGGTATTTTTGGATATGTTTCGTAACAGTCAAATATCAATATTAATACTAAATACGAATGATCCTCACACTATTTACATGGGCCCGTGCTGGACAGATAACGCGTTTTATCAGGCAAGTACTGATATTTGTACAGTTGGGGAAAATAACTGAGTATTTCTTTAGAGCGATATTTTTCCATGTGTGGGTCGCGACCCCATAGGGGTTGCGAAGCGTCTATAGAGGGGTCAGGAAAACTACCTCAGTAAAAAAAATAACAAAGTTATAAAGATAGATTTATTAAGAATAATTAAAACATTTGTATATTAACACAAATTAACAAAAAAGGAAGTCGTGGATAGCGAAATATTTTTTTCCTATTGGGAGGAGTTACGTCATGAAAAAGATTAAAAAAAACGCTACTTTAGATTAACAGTTAAAACGTACACAAGAATAAAAAATAATGAAAATTTAGTTTCCAATGCATAGTATTCATGTAGGTATTATGCATTTGCTCAATTTCGGGGCAATTTTCTTTTATTTTTATCACTGCTTTTATCACATATATGTTACGTTAGCTATAATTAAAAAATCTAAGTATCTAATACATGGAATATCTTGATAAATATAAATTTAGCAGTATGCCGTGGCTATTGTTACGTAAATTAGGATAAAATTGGCCTTTAAATATAATAAGTAAATAAAAAATCAACTCATGTAAACTTATAATTGAATAGTATCCTTTGGGAAACGAATATTCCCTACTAAAAATAAACATATAATTTCCTTATGGTATTATTATAATTGTATCGTATTTTTCCCCTATCAGTACTCGTTGTATGTGTACTATGGACTGTGTAGGTCCAGTAACGCATTAACAGTTCAATTGATAAACACGTTTCTAACTAGTTTATAATAATTATAAACAAATTGTTCGTGTTATAGGACATAAAGTTAGAACAAAAGTACAATACACAGTGGGAACAAAGAATTTGTGTGATTTATTGTAAATTTATTCAATATTTTTTGTGATATATTACATTGTGATTATAACGAACATTAGTGATTTATTAATATTAATAGAAGTTAATTAAATTAATTTTTAATATATATATATAAAATATAAAGTCCCGTCTCTTCATTTAGAAGAGGGCATTTTCAAGATTCGAGAATGTTAAAAGGTATACCTTAGCACGATAATTAATAATATAATTTTGGGTCACTGCGACACACTTGGTGAAAACATATCTCCAATATTCATCTTTTGTTTTATATTTGAAAAAATGTAAATAATCAGATTGTATAAATTTATTTATTAATTTACGTGAGTCATAAATGGCTCAAATAAAGTGTTTATCTATCTATCTATCTATCTATCTAATACTTTATTTTAGTCTATTTTTTATTTAAGCTACTTTTATATTAAGTGCATTATTGTCACAAAAAAGCATATTTATATAAGTTGTTGACTCGTGAAGAAAATTATTACTCATGGAAGTAGTGCATAAATTATAATTTTTTTTGTAAAAACAATCGGTTGTAAATATAAATATAAAGGCCACGATTACTAAATAATAATGGGAAAATCAGCTTATATAATAATATTAATATATAACAAATTATTGTTATATATTTAATAACATTAGTTCTCATACAGATACTATTATAGAGAATAAATGATGCATGTATATATAAAAAAATACACCTTAAGTTTTTTCGTGTTCACATGAACATAATCATGTTTCTTAGAAAGAATGTTATACAATTTTGGAACTGTTTGTAAATAAGATTTGTTCAACGGGTGGGAATGGTTAGCAACGAATCTCACAACCTCATTGTCAATTCGACCTACATGCTGTCGTATCTCCTTTTTATTAAACCATTTTTTTGAATTGACTGGGTGTTCGGGTCTGGATGTTCTGGGTATCGTCCTAAATGTTCTTGTCCTGGTTTCCCATAACAGTGCATAGCCTAAGAACCAGACATTTGGTGTGATTGTAGCACTCTTATTATTATTTCCTTATTAATTTCTGATGAATTCGTCATAATATGGTGGTTGTGGAAGGAGGAGAAGGGATTGTTAGTAATGGGGATTAGTAGCGCCATTATATAGCCTGCAATATACCCTGTCAGGTTGACCTCCACGTGGTTCCCCCTGAAAACCATCGTGACTAATTCTAGTTGAAGTCCTTGGGATGGGCTAATTGACCTGCTTTCATCCTCATCAGTCATCTGTCACTGGTACCCCGTCAGTGTATACCGATAGCGCAGACGGGGTTACCATGCCATTATCACCCATTAAAAAAAATATGGTGGTTGTACAGGATGTTGTATCGGCTGTTAACCGTCCACTGCTGAACATAGCCACCCCCATAAGGAGGATTTTAAGGGCCGCCTTCCTTTCCCGTGGGTGTCCTAAAAGGCAACTAAAGAAATTTAATGCTCGAGGGATGAGCAGCAGCGTCCCTCTTAAAACATCGCCAAAGCCTAACTGCGGTTGCCAACCCATTTGCCAAGCATGGCAACTAATCGCAAAACCCCCCAAGTGGACAGTTAATCTCTGATATGACAATAATAATAATTCGTCACTCTCGTGAAAACAGGAATGAAATAATAAAAATCAATCATAAACTCTTGCATTTATAACATTAATCTGGATTTCCTCGAGCACCACCGCGGTTTTTAAGTAGTGCAAAATAAACACAAGCGAGCTAAGTAGATACCTACCTATTTTATTTTACTTATCTCGACGCCGCTACAAATTCTAGTAAGAATTTGTAAATAGTAGCTAAACAATTAATTGCTTTGCTTATGTTTATTTAGTACAAATGTGGATACGGAATGATATTTATAAGATAAAAAAAAAACTGTAATTATATAACTGTTATAAACAACTTTATTACCCATAGGCACTTATATTTTTAATTAGTCATCACTGTAGAATAAAGCCGTAAAAGTTGCTGTGTGGTCCCCGCATAGATATTTTATTATTTTTTTATACAACTTAGAATGGCAAACAAGCTGACGGCCCACCTGATGGAAAGTGATAACCGTCGCCTATAGACATGAGCAGTACCATGCACATAACAGAGTATATTGTTACGCCCATGATACCCCCCATGCGTTGCCATTCCTGAGCAGTTGTGGTTGCATGGCTGTGTTTCGGTTTGAAGGGTAGGATATGGTGGTGAATTTACAGGCTACAGAGAAATAACACCTGATTCCTCAGGAATGGCAACGCATGGGGGGTATCATGGGCGAAACAGTATACTCTGTTATATCCATGGTACTTCTCATGTCTATAGGCGACCGCACTTTTCATCAGGTGGGCCGTCAGCTTGTTTGCCATTCTAAGTTGTATAACAAAAAAAATTTAACAGTATTTTAATAGTAGTAATATACCCTGTTGAGGGGAAAGGGATTATTAGTAATAGGATCTAGCAGCTCTATTGCTAGCAATCATTATATCGACCGTTAACTGTCCACTGCTGAACTTAGGCCTTATTAGGCCCTATAGGAGAAGGCCTAAGTAATTGTTGTAATAAATGTAATTGCCACGCTTGACAGGCAGATTGGCAATCGCAATTGCCTTTGGTATTGTTTTAAGAGGAATCCGGATCCCATCCGTCTTAACTTAATGATCATTAAGTTCTCTTAGCCGCCTCTTATGATACCTACGGGGAAACATCGAGTGGTCCAGTCTATGCCGAAAATTTATGCTAGCCATAGGACTGTTAGAATCAGGTCAACTTCTACAAAATCTTCATGGTGATAAAAAAAATTGTTGAATTCCTCACAATAGGCCAACTGACTTCATCCTCATCTATCATTCCTCACTAGTGCCTCGTCAGTTTATACCAATAGCGCAGGCAGAGTTACCGTTTTACTTTCACCCTTAAAAAAATATACCCTGTAAAGTTGACCTTTTTGCGGTTGCTTCTGAAAATTATGGTGATTAGTTTCTAGTAATTTCGTCAGGAATGAACAATTAAAGCGATCACCAGCATAAACCGACAACTCACTCGAAGTTTCTATTTAATTTTTAAATCCATTAAAAAAATCGCTTCATTTTTACCATAATCAAACTGGATGGAATTAATTTGAAATTAACGTGAAAGTGACTACTACGTATTAATTATAAAAGTTATTAAAATTGACTTAGTAAAGTAAGTCATAATTAGCAAAAAAATTAAGTATTTAATAATATATCTAAAAATATGTTTTAAAAGAAATTTTAAAACTTATAAAAGAGTATACATATATGAATATTTGACGACCTTCGTGGCGCAGTGGTCTGCACGTTGCTTTGACTAGACGAGGTACCCTATTTGTTTTCCGATTGCGCCCGTTTTGGAAACGAGCTTTTTTGAATTGACTTAAGTTTGGTGGTCTGGGTCAATGCCCTAAGATTTTTATTGTCTAACTCCTCTAAGGACCGGTAAATTGTGTGTGAATGTGTGACACTTATTTTTATTATTTTACAAGCGTAGTAAAGTTTATAATCTCTGCCTAGGATAAACAACGTTGGATCACTAAGCACAAAACAAATTTATATGCAACGTAATGTTATGTTAATATACACAGTGCATTTAGATGCAGACCGTTCAAGGACTGCTTGTGTATACGTTGTAAAACAAAGAACACGATTGTAATTTCCATTAATAGACAATAATAAATTAATTAAATGAAAAGAAATTATTTCGTTGTCAATTATTTTATTTTGTCATACATTTCAACTGACTTAAAAAAGAAGGTGTTTCTCAATTCGGTTGTAAGATTTTTTTAATGTTCGTTACCTCATAACTTCGTGAGTTTTAAACCTATTTGGAAAATTATTTTTTATCTGAAATACTAACAGATTGGTCCCATAGAAATTTTATCACAATCGGTTTAGTAGTTTTGCGTTTTAAATCAATTTCTGATTTTTTATCGTACTTCAATACAATTTCAATAAACTTTTTAACATACTGCTGTCATTATATTATTATATAATTGACGTTATGTTAAAATAGTTAAGTATAAATACAAGAAATATGAGTAACTTGTAGCTACCTATCAATGAATTTGCATGCTTTAGAAGACTATAAGACGACACTAAAAATCAAAATCTGTAAAAACAAAGTTCTGGCAAATTAATGTATCTATCAAAATAACAGGTTAATAGCTGTCACAACTGAAGTTTTTTTTTTTTTTTGTGGAACACAATTTAATTATTTACTATAATCTTAATATATAAAACCGTGTCATGATGTTCCATCACAATAATCTCCATAATAATAATTTTACACCAGAGGGAGACTTTGTACAAAAGTCGATTGCTTGGGTACCTCTGTCCCATTCGTGTTTCAACCGTGAAGCAGTTATGTTTGCATGGCTGTGTTTCGGTTTGAAGGGTGGGATATGGCGTGAATTTACTGGGTACAGAGGAATAACACCTGAGTCCTTAGGAATGGCAACGCATGGAGGGTATCATGGGCGAAACAGTATACTCTGTTATGTCCATGGTACTGCTCATGTCTATAGGCGACGGTTACCACTTTCCATCAGGTGGGCCGTCAGCTTGTTTGCCATTCTAAGTTGTATAAAAAAAAAAAATCTCCGAAATCGGTCAACAGATTTTTATAAAAATTTATAAACGTATATTTTTTGCTCTAACATTAGAGACAGGACAATTTGGACCGTAATAAGAAAAAATGGACAATTAAAATCTGGTATTTCAATAGTTAGTCATAATTGAAAGGACTGTTTTTTTTTTTTTTAATAATTACTTATTGTTTTTTTTCTCACAGTACCCATATCTTGTAACATCTAATAAAAAACTATTGTCATTCATTGCATTGCATTGCATCTGCAGTGATATGCATATAAGTTATATTTGGAATGCGTGCAGTATTAAATGAATGTGTCATGTAGATACTGCACTGTCCTATTAGCACTTATTACTTAGATTGGCAACAAGGCTACACAGGCAAATGGTGAGCTATCGGAATATGCATAAAGTGGATATACAACGTGCATATACATAATAATATATTAAAATGTTCTACGTTTTTTAATAATTTAATATTATAATAAAAAAAACGACTTCAATTTGTGGCAAAAACCAGTTGTTTTGGTTTAGAAACTAAATAACTTAATCGATTTTAATAATTTTTTTATGGGTCTAATCTGTAAGTATAGCCTTTTAGATTAAAAAGCATTTTCCTAATCGGTTTACAACTAATGGAGTTATGAAGTAATAAACATAAAAAAAAAACAAAATAAAACCGAATTAAGAACCTCCTTGTTTTTAAAGTCGGTTAAAGAAACAATAGCTCTTATTGTTAAGCACAAGTCTTCTCAGAAATAGTAGGTTATATGTGTCCTAAATATCAGAGGAATATTCTAGACTAGTCCACAATATTCACGCTAACAAAACAACCTGCTATAAAGTTTTATTAAGTGTAAGGGGTTATTTTTTTTTTGGTTTTATTTTGAGATTCTCTTCTTATGTGTAGGTGCTGAATTCTCAAAAAGTCGACTCTATATGATGACGAAATTATTCCAGCAGCGCCCTCTAGTGCTCTCTAGAATTTCTAGATCACCTTCGTCATACATTAGACGCCACGCCGACATACACAGACCACCCGTGTATGTCGGTCTTAAAAGCAAGTGACCTGGAGGTTGTTGCCTCCGGAGTAGAAGCCGGGGCAAAGGGGTACGCCCCGAGGCCCCTACCTCGCCCGTACTACTGATCAGCGGGACATGAGATGGCCAGATTGATTGATCATCATACACGAAGGCCTCTATCATGACTTACAAGGGACGTTAATTACGGTATATTATCTATATAGGTATTTGTAATAAAATTGCAATTAAGCGATATCTGTTGAACTTAAAATCTTTGGATTTATTTCTTTGGAATTCACTTCCTAAATCCACACGTACATAATTGCAGGTAACTATTGTATATTTCTATAGATCTGTCGTTTACGTCACAATACATTTTCCGCTATTGCATCGATCTCATATGTATGAAAGCGCTTATACTTAGTAAAAAGGCGTATTAGTTACACTACTGATAACAAAGATAAGAGCTGTAGTCAATTTTTCCCAGTTGTCTTTCAAACTCGCCGGACGCTCGACGTAAATAGCCCGCTAAATTACGCTAAATTATGTAAGTTTCCTAATATATACTTACCTACTTCTACTTAATTAGATATTTTTCTTTAAAACATAACAAAGATATTGAATATATTAATTGTACTATAAATAAATCTTATCAGTTATTCGTTGTTTGTTATAAAATCATAAATTTTTTATTGTTATCACAAATGATACCAGCCAAAGATAATTACCTAATAATGTACATAAATAGAGTGATTTTAGTATCCGAAAAAAAAAAGTAATAAACAGTATCAATTCGATTACAGAACGAGTATCGTTCTGTAATCGAAGTCAGAAATTAATATTTTAATAACTTATTCTAAATCGGTCATTTGTTCGCGTGTTTTGTTTGAAAACGTTTAAAAATTATTTTGAGTTTCGAGAGAAATTTGTTAAGTTTCATTAAATTAATACAAAAAAATAATCACTGGTTATTTAATCAGAATTATTTTGTTTAACTACCATTAGTATGTGTCTTACTACCAACATTGAACCAAAAAAACCAACCATAATATAGTTAACCAGTAATATGGATTTCCACAATATAACACCTATTTCAATAAAATACTGAAAAAATAATTAATTTGATGATTATTTTCAGCATCATTAAGTGAAGCCATGAAGATCGGATTCATTGGTGGCGGCAAATTGGCCTTCGCTTTGGCTAATGGATTCATTTCTGCTGGTAAATATATAGAAATTAGAAAGATTTCACCAGAGGGAGCCTTTGTACAAAAGTCATCTGCTGGGGTACCTCTGTCCAATTCTGCCATGAAGCAAAGGTATCGGCATGGCTGTTTCGGTTTGAAGGGTGGGATATGGCAGTGAAATTTCAGAGTACAAAGGCACAACATCTTATTCCTCAGAAATGGCAACACATGAAGGATATCATGAGTGACACAGTATACTCATATACTGTTACGTCTATAGTTCATGTCTAGGTGATGGTTACCACTTCCCATCAAGTAGGCCGTCAAGCTTATTTGCCATTCCAAATTGCATAAAAAAATCTTTTATACATAACGTACCTATTTAGAACGATAAATTACCAGTCCCTATATTTATGGAAAAAAAATTTGCAAACCATAAAAATTTGTAATTAATAGATAGTATGGCGACATCTTAAGGTGCTATAAGAGGCGACTAAGAGAACTTAATGATAGAAGGATGGGCAGCAGCGTCATAAAAACTTCACCAAAGGCCTTACTGTGGTTACCACGCGCCTGGCAAGCGTGGCAACTATTGGCAAAACCTCCCGCTAAATAGGCCTATGTTCAGTATCAGTCCACTGCTAAACATAGGCCGGGGAGGCCCTATTTAGAAAGAATTAAAATATTATGTGGTCATCGATTCAGTTAACGGCAGTTTTTATTTTTTTTCAAATGCTTCAGATAATGTGTGAAAAAATAAAATGAATAAAATGCCACCAGTGCTTCTTAAAATTTTTTGACTGTGGACTTTTGTGAGAAGGAATATCTGGTCTAAAGTAGCAGACTGGTAATAGGATTCCTACGATCAAATAATCGGATTAAACCAAAATCCATCGTGATATATCGCCGTGTGATCCCGGCGTAGAATGGGCCACCACTTTCTTTCCCGTGGATGGCGACTAAGAGATTTAATGATCGAGGAATGGGCAGCAGCGTCCTTCTTATAATATAATATCACTAAAGGCTAACTGCTGTTGTCAACCTACCTGCTAAGTATGTCAGCTACTAGTAAAACCTCCAAGGGGGATGCCTATGTTCAGCAGTGGACAGTTAACGGCTACGATCGTAATGAATGTATGCTATTATTTTTAACGAGAAAGTAGTAAATATTAATATTATTATTTTTAGGATTGGCAAAACCCGATGAAATCACAGCCAGCTGTCATCCATCTGACGTGGCAAGCGCAGAAGCATTTAAGGTAAACCACAAAAAAGCATATTTAAAGCCTATATAAACTGTTACTCTACGTCATAAGCAATTCTTACCCACCTGTAGGACAGCATTGCACCTATAATATTGCAGAGTAATGACTATTCGAATTTATAATGAAATACCGAAAAAAAAAATAAGAGAATTGCCATTAAATTATTTTAAATTGAAACTGAATAAATGGTTTATAAATAATAACTTCTACAATATAAATGAATTTTATAACCTAAAATGTATTTATTTGTAAATATTGGTAATAACCAGCGAAGTGTGAAGTCAATATTCATATCCAATGGTTTGTATAAGCACAGATAATATAATATTATGGTATAAGCTTACCGTCTACTATAAGTACGATAGTGGTTGGTATAAGTACAGTTCATACAGGACGCCATATGTCATTATAGGATATTTTATTGCGTATTATGACAGTAATTAATTCATTAATTTGTCTGAACTCACGAGGTGCTCTCTTATCGCTGGACCTCGTGCCATTCATCAATCATCACTCATCACGTTTTTCGACGAGATTATTTTATTCAAACTATGATGATGATAACAATATTTATGGAGTCGATAAAGTTGAAACCTATACTCGTGAGCACGGAATGTAATAATAAATTTGCGTCATGCCACCTTGACTTTGTAGTAGTTTGTGTCAGGTTGCTGTGATAAAAGATGTTATTTATCTCACTCTAATTACGTTATGTAGTATAATTACTGTTGTTTAGAATATAGTAATGTTAAGCTAATGTCAAGTAATTTTGTCGAATCTATTAATGAAAAATGAATATGTACTAAATAATAATTTAATGCAGAGTCGAAATTTAGTAATGAAAAAATTAACATTAAGATTAACAGAGAAGTATCCATATATCGATCCAAACGAATGTAAAAAAACAGCCCATATATATATATATATATATATATATATATATATATATATATATATATATATATATATATATATATATATATATATATATATATATATATATATATATATATATATATATATACTATGTATATATCGTTGAAAAAGTAATATATGTTATGAAGACAAAATACAACCCAATTGTGACCCTTTAAAATTGCTTTTAAATAAGCTTCACATTTTTACTATTATATATAAAGAGGTCCCTTTGTTCATTCATGCTGTAATACTGCTTATGAACAAATATTGTAGTAAACAAATGAGCTACCAATACTTATATACATACTTATGTACACAGTCATGCTATTATATATACCATATTAAGATCTAAAGGGCTGTTTAAAAATGATTTCTGTATCATAATAATTTTAGTATTTTATCTAATTAAGCATAGTGTAAATGAAACTTTACAAATGGCTTCTTGTCACTGATTGGTCTGTAAAAATGCACGTCTGTAAACTATCATTAGAGAATCATACATTTTCACTTTTAGTGAGTCAGTATGTTCCGAGTTTCATCATCATCATCATCATATCAGCTTTTACTTGTCCACTGCTGAACATAAGCCTCCCTCTTGGAGGGTTTTACCAGTAGTTACCATGCTTGGTTTTTTTTTTTATGGGTGAAAATGAAACTCCGCCTGCGCTAACAGGATACGCCGGTGGACCACCAGTGAAGGGTGATAGATGAAAATGAAAACAGGCCAGTTAGCCCATCATGATAAATTTATCAGAAATTAACCATGATAGTTTCCAGGGGGAACCGCGAGGAGGTCGACCTGGTTGGGTATATTGCTAGCAATGGTATTCTCAGTCTCCATTACTAACATTCCCTTTCCCCCTACCATGCTTGGTAGGCGGATTGGCAACCGCAGTTAGACTTTAGAGATGTTTTCAAAGAAACGCTACTGCCCACCCCTCACCCTACCTTATTCGCCTCTTACGACACCCACGTTAAAGGTAGGAGTGGCCTATTCTATACTGGGACCACACGGCTACGTTCCGAGTTTACTAGTCTAGAAAATAAAAAAACTTTTTTGTAATTTTCCAGGGTTTAGGTGCAACGGCTTTATTTGAAAATAAGCCAGTTGTGGAAAGATCCGAAGTGGTGATCGTGTCCGTGAAACCAGATGTCGTGACACCAGCTCTCCTTGAGGTGAAGGATCTATCGTCTTCTAAGAACAAACTCTTCATTTCTGTGGCCATGGGTGTATCCACTGCTACTATAGAAAAGGTATGTGAATCTATTTACAAAAAAAAAAAAAAAATATAAAAAAAAGAAACGAGTGTTTCGAAAATCAAACTAATGTATGCATATATATTCTTATTTGTATAACAGTTCTGAAGTTAAGTTCAATATTGTCATAAATCAAGATTGTGTTTCACAGAAAAAAAAACAACTTCACTTTTGGTAATACCAGTTATTTTTTTTTCAAAACTAAGTTACAGATTTTAATAAAATTTCTATTATGAGTCCAATCTGGAAATATATCCTTTTAGATAAAAAATATTTTCTGACGAAGTTATAAGGTAACAAACATAAAATATATATATATATATATATATGATATATATATATATATATATATATATATATATATATATATATATATATATATATATATATATATATATATATATATATATATATATATATATATATATATATATATTTACAAATAAAAAAATTTGTACATAATACATTTCTTATACGATGGCAGACTTATCTCATAGAGGGATCTCTTATAGTCAACCTTCGAAAAGCTTAAATAAAACTATACAATGTAAAGATAAACTCAATAATCGGTTCAGTAGAGTTTAGTTTTAAATGGATTTTATTTTTATTACTGTCAAATCTTAACCAGACGCAACTTTAAATTACTCTTCTCCATCATTAAATCATGCATTCATGTAATTTCCAGGCTCTACCAGCCGAAGCTAGGGTTATCCGGGTAATGCCAAACACACCATCCCTAGTAAAGGAGGGCGCTGCAGCCCTGAGTAGAGGCTCAAGAGCTACTGCCGACGACGCCAAGCTGACAGCGGAGTTGTTCAGAGCGGTCGGTACCTGCGACGAGGTGCCTGAGTACCAGATGGATGCAGTCACTGCTTTGAGTGGCAGTGGGCCTGCTTACGTAAGTTCTTACATTCTAAAGAAAGAAGCTAATAAAAACGTTCCACTTGATGGGAAATGATGATGAGGTTTCACACTTTAACAATTGAAGTGAACACACTAAAGTACACTATGACCTATGGAGTCATTATGCATTGCCATTCATGAATGTCACAGAGTGTGCTTAATTATTCCATCTATTTCATTTTGTAGTATGAGTCTTCTAGTTCTTAATTCTTTTCAATTAAAATCGCATTTCATACTAATGGTTGATGTTATTCAAAAACAATTTGGTATTTTAGTTGATGAAAATATCAATAGCAACATGAAATGATACGAATCGTACACAGTTAATAGTAATGGGTACCATAATATCATGTCATCGGTTGGCAACCGTAGTTAGGCTTATGGTGATTTTTAAGAGGAACGCTGCTACCAATCTTTCGACCGTTTAGTTCCCTTTATCTCTATTAGTATTATAAATGCGAAAGTTTGGAAGGATGTATAGATGGAGGTTTGTTACCATTTTAAATAAAACCTATTAAACATAGCATATAGGACATTTTATGTAAAGATTCAAGCGAGCACATTGGCTGGGTTTACCTAGTACTGTATAATTGGGAGAAGGGATTGTTAGCAATGGAGTTTGACAGCCCCATTGCTATCAGGTCAACCTCCGCGTAATTCCCCCTGGAAACCATCGTGAGCAATTCTCGTTGAATTCGTCACGATGGGCTAACTGACCTGTTTCATCCTCGTCTATCATCCTTCACTGGTGCCCTATCAGCGTATACCGATAGCGCGGGTGGGGTACTATTTCATTATCACCTATAAAAAAAAGTATTGTATAATTGGTTATGAGGAGTATAATGGTAGTTGGATGAGTTAATAATCGGATCTAGCAGCCATATTAGCATCAGAATTATCATCATCATATCAGCCGTTAGCTATCTGCTGCTGAACATAGGCTTCCTCCATAAGAGGGTTTTGCTAGTAGCTGCCACGTTTAGCAGGCGGGTTGGCAACCGCAGTTAGACTTTGGTGATGTTTTCAGTTTTATTAGCAATATACCCATATACTGTCTGCTGCAGAATATAGTCCTTTTCCATAATTTGAGGTTTTGCCAGTAGTTGTCACGCTTGGCAGTCGGGTTGGCAACCGCAATTAGACTTTGGTGATGTTTTCAGTTTTATCAGTAATATACCCATATATATCAAATGGACCTCTTCGTGGTTCCTCTGACAACTGTCGTAATTGTTTCGTAGCAAATCCGTTACAATGGGCCAATTGATCTGATTCATTCTCGTTTATCATTTCTCACTGACACCGCTCCAGCATTTGCCAGCACTGACTGGGACGTCATTTCATTTTCGTCTTATAAAAAAAATATAACGAACTCCGTTGGTCATTTTCAGATTTACATGCTGATAGAATCTCTAGCTGACGGCGGTGTTAGATGCGGGCTGCCCCGCGACCTGGCTCTACGACTGGCAGCACAGACCACCCTCGGCGCTGCGTCTATGCTGAAGGCTGGAGGACACCCGGCAGTGTTGAAGGACAACGTCACCAGCCCCGCTGGGTCTACTGCGGAAGGCACATACCATTTGGAACAGAATGGTAAGTTATCTATAATGGGGTGGCAATGCGGGCAAATTAAAGTTTAAATAAATTACTAATGAAAATGTTTCTATCGACGTACTCGTTTGCTATTTGTTACATAAAAATAAGTAACATGCACACTTTTGTTATCGTCGTGCATTTATTTATTATTTTTATTTTTTTCTACAGGTTTCCGAGCGGCCGTCATCGGCGCAGTGAAGGCGGCTGCGGATAGATGTAAAGTCGTTAATCAACAATTAAACAAATAGGAAACACTAATAAATGTTATTGTACATAATATTACGATAAACTATACTGTAATTATGTTGTAAATGTTGTAATACATTTTATTTTTATAATTTGTTATTTTTTTTTATTGTTACTTATACCTTACCCTATACGGTACATTTTGTTTTTTTTTTCATGACCAAAACGTACTTAATTAGTTATTATTACTTATTGGAAAGGGTATGTGCCTTAACATCTATATATAAGGGTTTATAAACTTTTGTGTAAAGCACAAATAAGAACAAAAAATTGTAATTTTATTGAAAATAGGTAGTTATTAAAAAAAAAATTTGGTATGTTATTTTCTCACACATCTAATTCATTGGATGACGTTGTATGTAAAAAAATAACTGACATTAAGATAAAAATAAAAATATTTTAATTTAATACATGTATCTAATTATATACATCCATACTTTATTTATTTATTTATGGCAACAAACAGTCATTTACAAAATAATACAATATGCATTACAGTTTTACAACAATAGGCCTTACAGTGCCAATAACAGTATTTTAAAACATTAAGTTATTATTCATGAAGTCCCATGGAAACACGCAATTTATATAAACGAAAATTTTGATAGGTAAGAAGCATTATTTTAGGGTTCAAGAATCACTATAGTGCTATTCATGTGTGCTGTAAGTTTACTATTATACACTATAGTGTGTTCAATCATGTGGGCTGTAAGTTTACTATTTTTATTTGTATAAACAGAGCTATATACAACATCGAAAAAAAAATTTTGTATACCCAATACAAAACAGAAGAAATATACTTCACCTTGTGTGTATATAATAGATAGATTATATTAAAAAAAAAATTTTCTGACATGATACACTGCCTAATTTTCCAATGGTCCGAGTCAGAGTTCGATCTCTTCACTTTTAATAGATATTGATTTTTAACTAATTCCAAAAAGCGTCATCTGTTTTTCATATTTAATACTATTTTTGGTGGAGTGTTAACCATAAACAACATTAGGTCTTCAATAATACTATTTATTTATACCTTTCTTACTGCAATAGATGGCGTGGTTAAATAAATTCACTTTTGACAGGTCTCGTTCTCTGTTTCCCCTGGTTATGTGCTCTGTGAAAATTGAAAGAAAACGAGTTTTCTGTCTTCCGTTCTCAACGGCTCCGGCAAAAAAAAAAATATTGAAACGTCATATTGTAAATGGAGAAGACAGCATAATTGTATTCAGGTGGACCGTGAAACCGCGACCTTGCCAACCTATCGTATCGTAAACTTTTATTACGCCCGGCGCTTCTGTTTACAATGGTATCAACCGAAATGGTTTTAGCCGCGGTATATTTCGCGTTAATAATCCTGAATGTATAATATGAATATAAAAATAGAATGCAAATTGTGACCGGTGACGCGAAGGCTTTGAAGTGTAGAATTGACGAGAGTTGGCCTTAAATTTGAGTAAGAAATCAACCTACGCTAACAATAAAGGTACACCTACGCGCCGCGAGTGTGAACTGCGTCGTCTTGGACACAAAACACTACGATGAGAACGAAACTAGATGAAAACCGCACGTCGGCAGCTAGTTGTTTACTGTCTTACACGTATTCCCCTAAGTATTCTTTCGTTTAATTATTGTGATACGTGATCAAAGCTGTAGATGTGAAGTGTCGTGATATTATTTCATATTCAATTATTTACTAAAATTACTTCCTCAGTCAAGGTTGCAGCAAATTCTTGGATAATTTTTACCATACAGGTAAATAAAGCACTCTATTATCTATGTAATAATTATTATATTTTATAGAAATGAAGAAATGGTGCATACTTTCAAATTCCTTTTTTAGTTCTTACACATAAGAATACCTAGAAGTTTAAACCTAGATTCTATATTAGTCTGAGTTTATTGCACAACTGAATGTTATTGGACTGCTTTCTAACAAGTAAGCTTTATAAGAATGTTACCTACACATCCTAATCAAAATAATATTAGAAATTTGAAAGTTTGCAATAATGTTTCTTAGCTATTATTGTACTTTATATCTTAAATAATTATCAATTAACATTCTAGTTTACCCATCATACATAAGGCTTTTGACAACACCAAATTGCATTTTAACCATTTAGTATTTTAACCATTTAGTATTTTATACCATTAAAGAGCAGCGCGTCGTAATCAAGTTTCTCTCGAAACTAAAGCAAAGAGTCAAGACAATGTTGATTGTTTTTTTCGATGTTCTCATAAAGAGCAGCGCGTCGTAATCAAGTTTCTCTCTAAACTCGTCAAGAATGGCCGTGAAAGAAAAGAGTTGAAGACATCCGTTGAACCAAGAACAAAAAAATCAAGAAAATCCCGCTCAAATGTCAAGACAATGTTGATTGTTTTTTTCGATGTCAAAGTAATTATATAATTATAATATTTACAATCATCAAATATATAATAATTATATATAACAGTGTTTATTTAATACATGAAAAATTACTCTTTTACGGTCAAAACACCCACTGTATATAAATGTATTTATATTGTATGTATGAATTATAAAGGTGGATGTAACTATCCTTACTCACTCTTGTAAGGATAGAGATATATGTTAACTTATTTCTTCTTGTCTATATTGTGAAAGATCTGTGTATATTTATTTAGATACATATTCTATATTTAAATACATACTGAATGCTATACTAATTTAGTGGAATTAAAAAAAAATACTCTAAGCCCCTAACTTTTATATTTACTAATTTTGAAGTGATTTTTATTTTAAAATTATCTGTTTTGACTATTAATTATCTCTGATATGATTGTTCCAATCCTTTATGTAGTTATTATCTGCTTTTGTATTTTTTTATTTCTAAATTTCTAATGATAAATAATAATTTATATAACAGTAATTATGAGATTAAGATATATTTTTGAGTAATTAGTGGAAATTCTAGGTGATAAATCTATGGTATAGGTTGTTATAGCTCATCACAAATAGTTTTTATTACAAGATATTCTGAATGAATGCCTATTTATTTAGCTTATAATTTATTCTTTCATCAAACTGAAGTATAGAGGTAGAAGGTAGGTAGGAATATACTATTACTAAAATTGTAAAATGAAAGTAATAATCAATCATATCTCATCATATTTATCTGATGGCAAACACCCACAGTATCCCATTTGCTGCAATGTCAGAGATATTATTTGGCTGTTGCTGAACTTTGTGATATTAAGCCAGTAACAATCAGTAGAATTATTGCTGTGTCCCACCTATTTATCTGTAGCACACCAAGAAATTATATGTCAGTCTTCAAGTCATAATAGCATACATGCCAAACTGAGATAAACAACTTAATTATAAAGTAATATATTAGGCCATATTTAAAGCTATTAAAATATAATATTGGGCAGAATGCATAATTTCAAGGTAAATATTACAGAAACTAGTAGTTATATGTTTTTCTAAAATAAAATCTTTGCATGTATGCCTCTATGGTTTGCAGTGAATTCAACCGTCATTTGACAGAGTGAATTTTAGTACTGTTTTCACATTTTTTATAATTCTATGGGTTGAGTCCTGCTCAATTAACTACATCAAAATATTCTGAGTACCAATGTAATTATTTAAAGTTTTAAATCTGTAATTAATTAAATTTAATTTTAAGAAATATTTTATTGAAATGTGAATTTTTGCTCATATGTAATTTTCAATCAGCATGTAATTTTTTTACAGATACATATCCTTAGGAATGAAGAATAATTTGTTATAAAAGGAGTAATTGTAATAATTCAAAATAAAGAAATCAACTCCATTCCTATGCTACAAAACAATGGATGAAAGTGATGTCATAGTATCATCCACAGAGGTGATCAAAGGTAATAAATACATCTTAATATTTCATAACAAATATATATTTTATGTGTCTATTAATATTATTATTTATAATTTATTATTATTATGTCTATTAATATATTATTATTATTATAAAATTACTTTAATAAATGTCTATACGCTGCAACACATTTTTGCATGATCGCACTGTGTTCAACTCCTTTGTAATCTTTGGGAAAATCCTGCACAGTGACACGACCTTTCAATTTGATCTTTCTGATGAAGCTAGTAAACTAGCTTAAATCGCTTTTTTCACCTTGAAAAATTAATTAGATTTTCGTGATGTTCCTATGAAATTCATTACAGTTTTAAGAAATAAAATCGAAAGTGAATCGCTTCAACACCTCTACACATTTAAAGAATAAAAGAATAATAAATGCGTAAATGATACATTTAAAGGTAACACCGTATATACTACACACTCTTTCCGTCAGTTTCTTTGTGGAATAAAAATGTTATAAAATATTAATGTTATATTATCGTCAGCCCCATGCCACTAGTTAATTATTCACCTACACTAGCTCATAGGTTTTTCCTGAGAAGGGTGCGCGATATGTGCGAATGTCAGGCAATCATAAACTGTAACTATTATTCAAACTGATACATGGTTAATTTTTTTATAACACCATCAAAGAATGATTAAACATCAAAGAAAATTATATAATTTTTGGGCATTCAATGTTATGATGGAAGTTTCCACCATTATGCAAAGCAGGGTTAATGATTTCGAATTAATTTGAACACCTGTCATCAGTTCGTGGAAAGAGAATTACTATACTTAGGGGGGAAAAGGTATTGTTAGTAATGGAGACTAAGAATCCCATTGCTAGCAATATATTCAACCAGGTCAACCTCCTCGCGGTTCCCCTGGAAACTATCATGAATAATTCCTGATGAATTCATCATGATCGGCTAATTGGCCTGTTTTCGTTCTCATCTATCAACCTTCACTGGTGCTCCGCATGCATATCCCGTTAGCGCAGGTAGGGTTACCATACCATTTTCACCCATCAAAAAAAAAATACTATACTTAATCTTGCACAGATTGTGTCGAGTGTCTACTTCCGTATATACTACGTACTGTACCCACACAAACTTCGTTACGGACGTGTGAAATTCAAATGTGCCTGTTTACAAGTGTAGGCGTAAAAATTGCGAGTTACCATACCAATAGCACGTCAATATTTACTTATTACTGACCAGTGCATAAGTATTACGTGCATACTCGACCTTCACACTTTATATACTTTTACACTTCACGTGGATTAACAAGTGATTCCAGTGTGTCAGTAATTAATAAGATTAAGAATGAGTATGTGCCCATATATATGAATGTTTTGAGCCGTGTGGTCCCGGCATAGAATAGGCCACCTTTTCCTTTCCCGTGGGTGTCATAAGGGGCGATTAAGGGAGCTTAATGGTCGATACATAGGCGGCAGTCTCTTAAAACATCACTAAAACCTAACTGCAGTTGTCAACATCCCTGCCAAGCGTGGTATCTACTGATAAAACCCTCCTTATAGGTTTATGCAGCAGTGGATATTTACCGGTTAATATCATGAAAATGGATTGGTAACCCTGTTTTCGCTATCGGTGTATACTGGCAGGATGCAAAAGAAAGATGATAGATAGGTTAAGTCGAACTCAAGTCAGTTGGCCTATTGTGATAGATTTACCAGAAATAAACCTAGTTTCTAGAAAGGATTTGATAAGGTATATTATTAATATAATTGGTAAGTATACTGTACTGGATTGACTGGAAGAGATCTCTATCAGAGATAAGTCCGCCCTTGCTCACAACATTTATAAATACATTATTTTATGTGTAACTTACAAGTGCAATAAAGAATATATTAATAGTAATTTAGACTTCATTCCTTCATGCCCATTCTTTGAAGGGAGTATTCCCTCCCCTCAAAGAATGGGCATATTAGACGAAGTCTGTAAGTAGCGTCAGTAATACAGAAGTAATCTATTGTCTTGATAGATTTATTTATTTATTCTTTATTCCACAATCAAATTTATTATTTTTATTTAGAGATTGTGGTGAAGAAAGAATCAAGTATGATTGTGGATAATCGTAGTTGTAAATGGAGACTCAAAAAGCAATGGATGGACTGTGGGAAAGATCACTAGATTAGAAAGAGATATATCAAAAATAGAAATGAATGAAAAAAAATTTTTTTTTTTGGTTGGTGGTATAATGGTTAACCCGCTAACAGTGTACGCGTGCGAGACACCAGTGGTAGGTGGTAGGCCCATCGTGATGAATTCCACAAGAAATAACCATGATGGTTTCCAGGATGACCAGGATGGTCACGTGGAGGTCGACCTGATAGAGTATAATTATTAGCAATGGGGCTGTTAGACCCCATTATTAATAATCTCTTCCTCCCGAACGATTTTGATTAACAAATAATCAGTATACATGTAAATCCCATCTAATTACAAACGCAAGTGATTCGAGTAGCCTATTAATACGAGGTTTGTCCGGAAAGTACGTATAAAAGTTTTTTAAAAATTTTATTTTACAATTATTCAGGTAAATCAATTTTATCCCCTTCAAAGTACTCCCCCTGTGACATAATGCACTTGTGCCAACGCCGTTTCCACTGTGAGAAGGCTCCTTGAAAGTCCTCTGGTTGTAGGTTTCTCAGCTGCCCCGTCGTAGCTTTTTTTATCTCATTTATGTCCCCCAAATGCCGCCCCCGAAGTACCAATTTGGTTTTTGGGAACAAGAAGAAGTCACACGGGGCCAAATCCGGCGAATAGGGGGGGTGTTCGGTCACCGTAATGGAATTTTTACTCAAAAACTCACGGAACGATCTTGGCGCAAATTTTTTTCATTTGAAGTTCGTTTCTTAGAATTTCGTGGACCACGGTTTTGCCCAAATTAAGCTCTTCAGCCACCTGTCTGACCGTTAAACGACGGTCCCCATTAACACAAGTTCGAATTCTTTCCACGTTTTCGTCGGAATGTGAAGTGGAAGGACGTCCTGAACGTGGGTCATCTTGAACGCTTTCTCGGCCCTCTCTGAATCTTTTTAGCCACTTGTGGACGGTTGGTTCCTTCACAGCATCATCCCCATAAACTGTTCTGAGATCGGCAAAAATTTCACGGCCATTCTTGCCGAGTTTCGAGAGAAACTTGATTACGACGCGCTGCTCTTCAACGGAAGCGGGCTCCATGCCGACGGGGTTTCGTTAAGAGGTAACTTCACAGATGGCGTGACAAGCCAGTTCGCACCGCACGGCGGTCAGACCAGAACTGAAGCATTGTTAGGGACATAAGGAAGGGGTCCTGCGCTTACCTGGCCTCCCCACTCCTCTTTCTCGCATTCCAGAACACTTTTATACGAACTTTCCGGACAGACCTCGTATTATAAATGAAATTTGAAATACAGCGACCTATATATTTATGTCGTTGATTAATTTAAATGATAGGATGCTTTTTATCCTCATTCACGTAGGCAAAGTCGCAGTATACAGTTAGTAAGAATATAATACTGGAGATATGATATCCGCTTCAATGGTCGCAAGCCGTAACTCATGATTGCTTGTGACAAATTCAATGTGTTATACTAAAGAACATCGGTATATCACGTTACGACTTTTATTGGTGTCATGTTTATACGTTTGTGATTATTGTATTTTGTTCTTACTTTAATAGTATAAACTTTGTAACTGGGAACTAGACTATAAAAATATGGCAACATTCTAAATATAGTCTAATTTTCACATTATGAACATCGAACATGAACACCATAAATTTATGGCAATTTATTATCTTTATTGTATTCATTCAGTTGGTACCATTACAATATTTATGAGTTTCATCGAATAGCAGCGATAAATTAAATTCACTGTGAAAGAATGCCTACCACAAACTATATTGAATCGTGTTTGTAACTTTCGAGGGCGAAAATGGTTTTAGGGTTGCCATCTCCATCAACCAAATACCAGGACAAAGCAGGGGAGTAGATTTTTAGGGTGGATATATATAGAACACAATTATACTTACAAAATCTTTTTGTTCACGAAATTGAACGTTACAGGTGTTACTATTCCTAATGTATTTTGTTGTGAATAATTTAAGATTTTATAAAAAAAATATATAATGGCTTTTATTTGAACAAATTTAGTAGGATTAACAAAAGATAGTTAGGATGAACATGCAAATAAATTCGTGTAAGTAAAAAAATAAAAGAGATTCGTCAGAATAGAGCTTAATTAAAAATAACAAAAAAATACTTTTCATTTTGTTTTTTTTATATTCCTTATTTGTGAAAATTTGACTTTTGAATCTCGTTTCAAATACAGGTAGAAGGTCAGAAACTGTATTAGAAACGAGTAAACATATATGTATATATAAACGTATACGTATATGTATTATTACAATTTAAACAAACCTCTTTATTATTTACATTGGTAATCCATTAATTCTTTTGCTTGATATTTTTTCAAATAAATATGTGTGACAAACAAAAGCCACCGAGCAAATGCGTACCAATTGAGCAATTTAAATATGGAACACTGTTTTTTTTTTGATGGGTGAAAATGGTATGGTAACCCCGCCTGCGCTAACGGGATACGCTGGCGAAGCAGCAGTGAAGGGTGATAGATGAGAATGAAAACAGGCCAGTTAGCCCATCATGATGAATTTATCAGGAATTAACCATGATAGTTTCCAGGGGGAACCGCGAGGAGGTCGACCTGGTTGGGTATATTGCTAGCAATGGTATTCTCAGTCTCCATAACTAATAATCCCTTTCCCCCCAAATTATGGAACACTGATAGACGCAAATCATTGTACAGATTAGATGTAACCGTAAAATTGAAGATGTATACTAGTCTGCTTACGTCAGTCACGTATGGCTCAAGTTATTAACAAACACTTTGAAGGTTTCCGTAGAGATTTCAGTTGTCTGTAATACTAGTTGTTTTCATAAGGCTTTTTAGATCGTATATTTATCTTCACGTAATG